GGTCTTCCGGTGGATTTTGCGCGCGCGATGGCGGCTACTTTGTAGCCGTCCTCCTGGGTAAGTGTAAGAACTGCTATGAACAGCAGACATCAGCTGTTCAGCGGTTCAAAATCCCCCTCCCGGGCAAAGGGGGGGGGCAGAGAGTGTCTGAATAGTGGTAGAGCCTCTTTTGCACCCCCCAAGTCCTTTTTTTGGGGGGTGAAAGGAGTGCTCCCACGGAGTTCAGACTTGTCTCCGCTTCCCAGCTGTTTTTGTCCTCAGGGACAAAACGAGCCGCTGCAAACACCTCCGTGCTTAAAGAGAACTGGTGAGTTTTTTTTTTTTAAACGGACAGAGCTGAGTAGAGGATTTAGTTTTTGCTTTCTTTGACTTATTTGGATTTTAAGTTTTTAAGACTTGTTTCTATTTTTACTCTCTCTTTTTATTTCTCCTTCTTTGCTGAAAGGGAAAGTAAAATGGCGATCGGCAAATCTCTCGGTGTTTTTTTTTTTTTTTTTGGAAGTTAGAATGCTGACCGGCAGGCTTTTTGGTGCTTTTTTTTTTTTTTTTCCTTTCCCTTTTCCTTTTTTATTTTCTTATGATTGGAATGGACTGTTAGAATTATTATTTTTGTTTAATCTTTGTGTTTGTTTTTGGTATCTCTAAGTATTTTTTTTTTAAAAAAAATGGAACGGACCTTTTCTATTTAATTATTTTTTTCTTCTCCCCCTTTTTTTTTCTTTCTCTCTTTTCTTTTTTTCTGAACTCCTTTCCTTTTATTGCAATGACCCCTTTTTGAAGGATTTCCCCCCCTCTTTCTTTTTGAATTCATGGAGTTAACTCCTTTTTTTTGCTTAATTTTTGCAATTTTTAAGGAGGAGTAAAGCTTTTTTAATTCCTTTTCTCTTCTTTTTTTTTCCCCCTTTTTTCTTTTTATTATAATGACCTTCTTTGGAGGGAGTTATGATTTTTGAAGGAATTTTTATAATTTTTTAAGAAGGACTAAAGGGTTTTTTTTTTAAGATGGCTCCAAAGCGTCCAGGGATTTCTACAGCTTCTAAATTAACAGTCTCACCCTCTTCTGGGGGTCAGCTAACAACTATGAAGGATTTGCAAGACATGTCATAATTCAAATTAGGGCAGATGATTTTCAATAGATTCAAGATTAGGGCAGAAATGAAAAAGATTTTAGAGGAAAACAATAAGATCTTGAGACAAGACTTTGTTTTGGCTTTAAAAGGAGTTGCTTCTGTTCTTGAAAAGATGAACTCCCATGTGGAAGAGGTAGATGAAAAAGTGGAGATAATGGAGGGGAAAATTGAAAGTATGGAAAAAGAGATGGAAAATGAAATTCTTATGCTTCAATATGGACAAATGGAATATGCCTTAAGAATCAGGGGCCTGGAAGAGTCTTTGCAAGGAAATTTGAAAGAGATGGTTGCAAAGGACTTTGCATTGATTTTGAATAAAGAAAAAGAGGGAATACTTAGTGAAATTGAAAAATTATTCAGGGTTAATTCTGTGGTGGCAGCACAGAAGAATCTGCCAAGAGATGTGGTAATTTACTTTGGTAAAAAATCTCTACGCAATGAAATTGTGCAAGCCTAATAAGAAGAGATTTCAAATTGCTTCACAAGATGTTATAATTTTTAAGGAGATCCCATCTAAAATTTTAAGAAGAAGAAAGGAGTTTGCTTTTCTAGCAAATGAACTTAAAAAGAGAAAAATACTATTCAGATGGGATGTCCCGACTGGAATGGTGGTGAACCACCTGGGGACATGTTATAGACTTAATACTGTTTCTCAAGCAAAAGATTTTTATACCTCGGTCCTGGGGGTATGTGTATCGCCATCTATTAAGTTTAAAGCTTTGGAAGAAAAGAATGTAGAATTACAGCTTGAAGAGCCTATATTTATGAAAATTGGGGAACCCTTGTTTGAGAGGCCCCAACAAGTCCAGGTTGAGGAACAGAAGACAACTTGTGCAGCATACAATTGCAAAGAAAAGCAGCAACAGAAGAAGGTCTCTGAATCTCTGGGAGAAGTTAGACCTACAAAGTCTCTGGAGCAATCTTCAAGGGTGGAATTGCTGCCTGAAATGGAAATTGGGAAATTTCAGCTTGAGGGGCACCAACAAGAGAGGAACGGGCAGAGGATAACTTGTACAACTTATAATTGTGAAGATCAACACAAGGAGGAATTCACTGAGGAAGTTTTACAGGTATCGGTCCCTGAGACTTGTGCAACATATAAATGTAAAGAAAAAGTAACATATAAATGTAAAGAGAAAGACCAACAGAAGAAGGAGGTTGAGGAAGTTTCACAGGTACTGATTCCTGAGCTTGTGGGTCAACCAGGACTTACAAACTCTTTGGAGCGATCTTCAAGGGCAGAATTCCACGCATTTTTTTCGATGCTTGCGGGCAAGAGAAACCGATATGGATTGTGCTTATAGTAGATGTAACTGGCTATTAGACAGAAGATTATGGATATTGAATGAAAATTTTAGATAAGAAGTTTGTGTTTATAGTGGGTGCAACTGGTTATCGGACAGAAAATTATGGACATTGAATGAGAACTTTAGACAAGAAGTTTACTATTGAGATTGTGGGAGAAGTAAAACTTACATCGTTTTTGGAAAATGTCTTATGTAATGTCTAAATATGTGTTTTGGGATAATAATATATTTCATCTTTAAGTTTTAAACCTTTAATGATAATATTGTTTAAACCTGTGTTTTGAAGGGATTATAATTTGTTTATTTCAGTGAGGGGATTCTAATAAATTTGTGTTTTGAAGGGAGTATAATTTGTTTAAGTTCCAAGTAATGCTTAAATTTGGTTTTTAAATATTATTATTAATATTTCTAAGAGAAAATAATTTGTTTAATTAAATGTCTAGATTTGTTTAGGAAAGAAAGTAATGCTTAAATCTGTGTTTTTGGAGGAAGTTTATATAGAATGATGATTGTATTTAGATTTGTTTAGGATTCAAAAGTGTTTCAAGTTTTTAAATATTATTATTAATATCTTTAAGAGAAAATAATTTGTTTAACTAAATGTGTCTAGATTTGTTTAGGATTTTTAAGTTTTTTTTTGGATAGGTGAGAAGATTATGAAGATTGAAGGAAATATGTATTTACTTTAAGTTTTCTAAGAGTATTTAGTTTTGATGGTATAACAAAGGTTTATATATTTATTTTTTTGTATTAGGATAAAGAAAGAGGGAGAAATTAGATTTTACATTATAGGTATAGATATTCAAAGAAAGTAATGTTTAAATTTGCGTTTTTGGAGGGAGTTTATATAGAATGATGATTGTATTTAAATTTGTTTAGGTTTTAAAAGTGTTTTAAGTTTTTTTCTCAATTAAGCCTGTACTCAGCTCTGGGAAGTCCAGGGGAGGGTTTGGGAGGTTGGGTAGGAGGGGGGTGAGGTAGGGTTGGGGGGGGTATGGGAAGGGGATTTGTTTTTGTAAAATTTAAAAATTTTCAATAAAAAAAAAAAAAAAAAAGAAATGTTATGATTTAAATCTTGAGTTAAGTCTTGGGAGTTTGTGACCACAATGGGTATTTAAATGGGGTCCGTGGTAAAGAAAAGGTTGAGAACCACTGGGCTAGGGTAAAACAGATATAGATTCCAATCCATGTTTAGCCTTGAAATTGACAGATGTGATCTTAGAACATGATGGAAGTTAGCCCAGAGAAAGAAATATTAAAAAGGGCAGAAAAAAATATATTTTTCCTCAAAAGGACTTTTTAAAACCAAACCTGGCCTCAAATCTATCTCTTTGCCCCAAGCAAGAGCTAGGCCCATACAAATGCAGATATAAAACCATCAGAAAGTTGGAGCCAGAGCAATCAAGAAGACAAAAGAGAAGATCTGCATACCCCACCCAAACTCTAGGAGTCTGCCCCATCACCTGGGAAGCAGGATATGATAATAGAATTAAACCACAGATATCAAGGCCTAGACAAACACTCAAACAGCCTCAAAAGTTCATGCCACAGGAACAAGAAACTATTCCAAACAAGGCTAGAGGGAGTATAAAAGCCTACTGCCCCATGTGCTCAGCCCTTCTCTCTCCTCTGCACTTTCCTGAAGAATCTTCTTCCCAAAGCAGTCGCCATGTTTGCTTATATATTCCCGGCTTGGATGAACCAGGATGAAGACTTTACTTCTAACAAACAGTTCCCTCATTCAGCGGTGGGATTCAAATATGGGAACAAATGGTTTTCTGTGTGGTTGCTACTTCCGGAAGTCCATTCTGGGCCTGGGCAACAAAAGATTAGTTACTGGTTCTGCCAAAGTGGTGTGAACCAGCTGAATCCCACCACTGCCCTTATTATATTTAAATATAGAACTACACAATCTTTTGGTAGTCAGGGTTGCCCTTGGCATTTTGAAGAGAACTGAATGTTGTAGAGATGAGGCAGTGAGGGCAGGAACAGGCCAAACATGTAGGCAGGGGAATTAGTTTTCTGATTCTCTCCCATCCTTATGATTTTGAAGGAAGATCTTTTTAAAAAAAACAAAAAAAACACCTTTGTATCTGAGGGTTGATGCTACAGGTTTGCCTATTTTCTGCCTCAAAAGGGCAGAAAGTCATACCACAGGATTTTAGTCAGAAGAGGCACAAAAGGCACTTGGAAATTATAAGTGGCCTTGCCCAGAATTGACAAAGAAACCATTCAAACTCTCCTTGAATGATAATGGTTTGAAATCAGAGTGTGATGCCTCTACTGTATCATCCTGAAGGTTTGCATTGTGCTGATCCCTCCAGTGAGTGATGAGTAACAGAGTTAAGTAGGATATAATGGCCCTGGTAGGAAGTTAGCAAGCAAGCAATATAAACGGGATTTCCCATCATTCAGTGGGTTTGCCTACATTATAAAGAATTAGCAAAGAAAAACAGAGCAAGTGTATCTAGTTAAGCCTTTCCAAAGCCAAAACCAAACCTCACAAGGAAAGAAAACACTCAGTCTGAAATACATCTCTGGAAATATCCACAACCACACAAACCTGTTTGCCCAACTGATCCTTCTTGACAAAGCCAGTGGCTGCAGCAATATTTCCAGCACCTTCCACCGTCTTCTGGGCTACAGCTGTCACTCCGGTGACAACAGCTCCCCCTACATTTGACACTTGCTCTTTGGTTTTCTCAGCCACTGTAGGGGGGGAAATGTTAAAGGTGAGAAGAAAAATTCTCAAGTGTTCTTTTCAAGGTCAATCTGGCTGTCTCCGACTAGTCACAGGTGACACAAGATACAATTTTACTGTGCATGCAAAAGAAAGAAAGAAAATCACAAAAGCATCTCTCTGTTAAATCAAACTTGCCTTATATGCATATTTTGTATCTAGGGTACAATTACACATAATTTTTGAGAATTTAATTTGAAAAATTAAAAAAATTAAAAATTATTTAAACTACAGTTGAAATTCCAAAATAATCTTCCAGCTGGAGCTTCTGGCAGGATAACACTTGCTTAAATATGCAAAGAAAGATCAACTCGACTTTTCAATGTTGTAGCAGCTGTATTTTTTCCAGATCATAAAAGAGTGCAGTATCCATTTAAACTCTTATCCAGTTAAATTCCCAAAGCCATTAGTAGATAATTCAAAATAGGATGAACACCTACAAAAGGCAATGAGTCTTTCTAAACAAAAACTGAGATGCTTTGAGTGGTCTCAAGGATGAAAGTAAGGGAAGGTAATTCTTGGGAGTTTCCCTTGCCTTTCCCCACCCTATATAGCCCCAGAAGGATTAAAATATCCTGCCCTTTCATGTCACATTGTCATTTGATGGCATTCTAATCGCTTTAGAAATCAAACTGACTGAGTTGTAGTCTGCAATGTTTATACAGGTAGTCCTCGACTTATAACTGAGCCCAAAATTTCTCTTGCTAAGAGTGAAACAGTTGTTAAGTGAGTTTTATCCCATTTTGCTACCTTGTTTGTCATAATTAAGTAAATCACTGCGGTTAATTAGTAACACGGTTGTTAAGTGAATTTGGCTTTCCCATTGACTTTGCTTGTTAGAAGACTGCAAAAGGTGATCACATGATCCCATCATAAATTTGAGTCAGTTGTTAAGCATCTGAATTTTGACCACATGACCATGGAGACACTGAAACCATCATAAATGTGAACAATGGTCATAAGTCACTCTTTTTAGTGCCACTATAACTTAAAACAGTCACTAAATGAACTGTTGTAAATTGAGGACTGCTATACATTGCTTATACCTGGTCTACCTGATGGATCTTCCTTCATCAAATAAGTTGGCAGAACAATTCCAATCCCATGATGCTCACAGCCCACCATTTTACAAAAGTTATACCCAGCTGTTTATATTGAGAAATCCATTAACCTGAACATAAAATATACCAATCTGAATTGAGTCCACTTCATATAATCAATTCAAATATACAGAGCAGGTTGACTTGACTCAAAAATTGAACAGACTTTTTACTTGGGCATTAAAGCCTCTTCTGCACTGTGCAGAAGTATGATTTAACAAATGAAATCATAGATACTTCACTGAATTAGCTCCCCGTTGCAAATAATTTACACAACCCTACTTAAAGGCTCTTTCAGGAGTATAACAGATTTGTGCTAAATGAATGCATCAGATGAAAACACTTTGGTTCTATTTCCATGGAAGCTAGTATCAACATTATTCACATGTTCCAATGAACCAGTATACAGCAGTGTGTGGACAATGAGCATAGCTCTGGTGTAAATGCAGAAGAGAAACAAAATATATTGGACAAAATTTGTCACTTGAAAATAGAGGAGAGACAAGCAAGATAGGGGCATTCAAATGGTTTTGTCTACAGCAACATAACTAATATTATGGATTATATTAGCTATAATCCCAAATATTTATAGGTACCTTTGATATAGACTTTGCAGAATATAATGATTTGGAGAATTAGGGAGAACACAGAACTGCCCAATGCTTTGGAACTTCCTTCTTACATCCATATTTTATCAAAAAGGAAGAAAATTTGCTCTTGTACCAGCTGTCATTTGATGCCTAAGCAAGGTCAAAATGTGTTCTGAGAGCCTGACGTGAATTTCAGCTGCAGCAACAAGAGCCACAAATTATTTTATAAGAAAAGAATTCTAAGAAAAGAATTCCTGGAAATCTAAGTAACAGGCATATATATCAGTCATTTGCTGCTGTTGGTGGCACACCGCCAAAAATTGCAACTATTTACTATTCCAGGGCTATCCTTGACCACTGAAGATAATATCTCTATGGTCTAGAGAATAGATTTCCTGTCATTTTGCCAGCAACTCTAGTTGGCATCTTCAGAGGCAAAGTGGTCTGCTATGCAGATCACAGGTAACTGAGCAGGGACTGACTGACTAATTTGACAGCCACAGTTCCCATCCAACATCAGGAAATCTGTTCTCTAGACCATGTTCACTAAACCTTGAAGCTCAACAGATACCAGCTGTGACAGCCTACGCCAGCATATGTAACTGTGTATAACTAATTTTTAAACAATTGCCAGTGTATCAAAGGAATTCTAGGTATGAAAGCTGCTTTCAATGTGAGAAAAGACTACAGATGCCATGGAGCACTCCATCCATTATATATCAGAGGTCCCCAACCCCAGACTGCAGCTTACTACTGGGCCTTGAGCCATTTGGAACTGGGCTGAAGAAGTGTTGGGCAAGCACGTGTGCATGCATCCCCACCTGCATGTCAGCAGGTGAGTGCATGCCCATGCACTCCATTTGCGTGAACACGAGTGCACATGCTGCTTATGCAAATGGGGTGCATATGCACACGCTTGCTCTCTGCTCATGCAGAACCACTCCCTGTCCACCCCCCTCCCAGTGCTCCACAAAGCTGCAAAGGTTGGGGAACTCTGTATTACATGTTTCTCTTGCGATGAAAATAATCACTGAGGCCCACTGGTTATTGCCCAAAAACAGATATGCAATCTGGGCCAATACTTTGCTGGCTTTGTATTCACTACAGATGGCATGTCATGTGTCTGAACAATCAGAAACTGGATTTGTACTACCAAATTTGTACTATCTCCAAATGTCCTATCTACAAGAATATTCCTCTCCCGATAAGACCAGTGGTAGAATTCAGCCAGTTTGTACCAGTTCAGTAGAACTGGTAGCTAATTTTTTGTTGCCCAGGCCCAGAATGGACTTCCAGAAGCAGCATCTACACAGAAAACCGGTTGTTCACATATTTGAATCCCACCACTGGATAAGATCAATAGTGTTGTTTCCCAAATGCCAGATCATATCGCAGACCCTTTCCTTCCTAAATCAAAGCCTATTTTTTAAAAAACAGACAAAAGATTTATTGATGACTTAGATATAGAAATGCAAATAGAAACGGACTTACCTGTTGTGACACCATGAACCACACCCTCTTTGGTCTTTGACCCTGTTTATTCAACAAAAATAAAAATAAAAAAAATCAGTGGAAACTGAATGGAACGAGTCTTAGGAAGTGTAAAGATACAATTAAAGAATCCCAGGCTGAGTTCACACAACTTGTTGATCCTAGGTTCAACACAAATTGCTGTTTTTTTATAAAATAGTAGCCCAAACAATAGACTGCAAATTATAACTTAACATTAGGACTTGGTTCACACAAAGAGAATAATGGAGTTCCAATCCCTCTGCCTTTTGGAATTTAATTGGACAGAGCCTTTTTGTGGTGAAAAGTATTGGATTCTTTAGAGGTCTTTCGTAGCAAATTACAATTTATTAATGCAAAAAATTTCTGATACATGCGTAAGCCTTCCATATCCAAAAGATGCATTAAACATTTGCCTTTTGTGCATTCGAATGATATAAATGTGCTAAGATGGTTTATGTTGACAGTACTCCCAGATGCCAGTTTGTTAGATTTAGCTATGCCTTTTAATTGCCCCATGCTGTGAAATGAAACAACGTCTATGAAAAATGCAGCTTTCACACCAGCCGTGAAGCATGAATCATACAGTTATTTGGTTGGGCACGGCTAAATCTGCTGGCTCAGTTTCTTTAAGGACTCGAATTCCATCAAAACAACCTCTAAATAAATCCAGTATAAATCTATTAATCCGCTTCTACTCCTAAATTATCACATTATTAAAGTGAAGTAATCTTGGCCAGGAATAGGAAACTTACAGTTTTCAGGAGCATCCCTCTCAAAGCATACACACATATCCCTTAAGATTGCACCGACAGTAAAATAGCTGCATTTTTGTTATTTTATCCTTAGAGAAGTAACCATTTGGTTACTGTCTTTCTTTTTTCAGAATTTAAGGGGTGGGGATGGAACTGAAAAATTACTGGGAGGGAAATTCATTCGTAAGCTCCTCTTAAAACCATGGAGAAATTGCTCTACATGGACTCAGCCTTTGGTGTGGATGGAATGGTTTCCCCTTTCTCATCCTTCAAAATAACAAATGAAGCCAAAAAATGGATCAAAATATTTTGGCCATACCCTTCCTGATGACATCTTCATATTATTAGATGGTCTCTTCTGAAAGGTCAGCAGATAGTTGTTAGCCATATGACAACTCTTTTTCTAAGCAGTAAACCAGACTAATTTATTCTCAATTGTGAATGAAGGCAAATATGCACATCCCAGGATAATATTGCAGGATCCAATCTGGATTGGTCACTGGGGCAAGAAATTTAGTCTTTCAAGATTTTGGACTTGTGCTGGAACTCGTCCTCAGGGAACTTGTCTCTAGTAGAATGTGTGCTTTGAGCTATTCAATGTGTAATATTTATGTGTGACTTTTCAGTTGTTGATTGGGGTGTTGATGGCCGGCTATTAAGTCATTGACTGTTGTTTCATTGTGCTGCCAAGCACTCAGTTCCTAAGTACTTGGTAAGCTGGTGGTAAATCAGCACTACTGTTGACTGACAAGGGGCCTGTTTCCCAGGCTTCAATTATTTCCCTGGCTCTTTCTGTCCCTGCTCAGGCAACAATCTTAATAGCTGCAAAACTGAATGTATATCTTTGTTCATTGCAATGTGAGGCTACCAATGAGTTTGGATCCCCTCATCTGATTGTTTGCTTGTGTTCTTGTAATCTATTCTCATTTGGGTGAGGAGGATATGACCTATTAGGGCAAATTTGAGTAGGGGTAAGTATTAAGACACATGTGACAACAAAGTCAGGGTTCATCAGTGTTCATCTAGTTTAGCTCTATAAGTTAGATCTGGGCCTGCTAATCTGGATAGCAACCATGAATCTACTCCCCGCAGATGCAATGTATCTCTTCTGAATTTCTTTAAGATTTCTTCAAGGTCTCTCCTTGAAGAAATGCAAGCAATCCACCAATACAACAGATATTTAATTTCTAAGTGGAATAAATATTATTACATCCAAAGTACATGTACTAAGTAGACGCTTTAGTTATTTTCAGTTCTAAAAGTTTATTACTCAAACAGAGCAAGAAATGTAATGATGCCTTTGGTTTAAAGGAGGAACATATTACTACAGGTCATCTTGATTGCTCATTTTGTTCAGAATAGCAGTACATAAGATTTAGATTGCTGTCATGGTTAAAATGTTGGATTGAGACCAAGGAGATCCAAGCTTCACTCTATCTTCAAAACAACTTTTCTCCCCAAATGGTTTTTGAAAAGGTAAATTGAGGAAAGGAATGTAAGAATCTCATCCTGGACAAAAATTGGATGAAAATCTAAAGAATTCTACATACATATACAAATTGAGAGCCCAGAACTTCACATGTTCTTAATGAACCTTGAATCTATATGAATCTCCAAAGTCTCTCTATAGTTGCAAGAAATCTTAATTTGTCTGGGACACACAGGAAAGTGTGTGTTCCACTAAAAATGGAATTTAGATCTGTAAGGGTCACCTGTTCTTAATTTAATTGGGACACATAGGAAAGTATGTGTACCACTAAAAATAAAATTTAGATCTGTAAGAATCACCTGTTTGAGCCAAGTTCCCTTTCAATTCTATTGTTCTATGATTCTAGATTTCATTCAGTTTCATTCATATTTTCTTTCTGTCTTGGCTCCACTCAGTGCTTGGCATGGGTTCCTGACGTGCCAATATGTGTGGTCCTTGGCTCAAAAAAAAAAAATTAAAAATAAAATCGCACACTTCAGATTTAGTGTCTCACCACTTACCCACATAGAGGACCCCTTCTTTTGTTTTTCCTGCTGCTTCTGTCATGCCTTGCTTGGTTTTCTCCGCTGCTGCTACCACTCCTTCCTTAGCTTTATTAAATCCTTTCATGAATACATCCATGGCCAAAATATGTCTGTGTCCAGAACTGAAAAACAGATAGCTTTTTATTTAATTCGTTAAGTCATTTAAGAAAGAATAACATCATGTTGTTTAGGAGGGAATGGCATATCCCTCTATGCCAGAGGTTCTCAACTATGGGTCGCGACCCCATTTGGGGTCGATCGACCATTTCACGGGGGTCACTAAGCAAGGCTGTCCGCCATTTTTTCCCCTTTTCTGGTGGGTGCCTTACCTCCCTTGGGCTGGGCCAGCTGGTGGCCCAGCCAGTGGTTGGCCTGCTCCATCTCTGCTGCTTGCCAGCTACGCCTTGGCCGGTGCAGGGGGCGGCACCACGCATGCGCGGTGCTCCCGGGCAGGGAAAGTCCTCGACTTACAACCAGTTGGGTACTCCTCTACTTACAATCAGTTTAGTCCTCGACTTATGACCGGTTTAGTCCTCGACTTACGACTGGTTGGGGGTCGTGGCATTAAAAAGGTTGAGAACCACTGCTCTATGCATACATGATCACCTTGGTCTAAAACTATGCAGATGGCTAAATATGGAGATAACCAAAGCATTAGGGAGGGAAAATGGGGCAGGATCATGCTCATTAGAACCACTGTATTTCATGTATATAGCCACAAAAACAACTTGAGATTATTTCCTGCGGATGAATGAGTGGCTTCTATCAACCAGGTATCTGTTGCATGTTATCCTGGCACACTGTAGTTGAGTGCAATATCTCTTTAGAGAGGACTCTCAGCTGCCCCCATTTCTCAAAGAGGTCCACTTGCAGCTCTGTAGTTCCTTCAGGGTAACAAGCAAGACCTTTTCATTCTTATGGACTTGTAAATCTTTGCATTTTGGTGTTATTGCACCATGCTTCTTAAGTGGTTTGATTTTTTGTAAAGATTGCTTTAATGCATTTTTTTTAACCACCACCCTTGTTTTTACCCTTGTGGTGTAATTTTGGGGAGTTTGTGCAAAGATCTTTGAATATTTCATTTCCTACTTCATTCTAGCCTTAAGTTTTTAATTGTAAATATGTTGCCCAATTTTTTAAATGGTAAACTCACACCATCTCTTCACCTCATTTGACCCCTAGTAACTATAGCGTCCAATGATGGTTGTACAAAAAAGCCAACTTTCACAAATAAAACAGGAGCACAGACTATACTAGGTCCCGAGGTTCATTCATTTTTTGATATTCCTGGAATTTAAACCACAAAGGGAATCAAATAACCAATGCAATATCATTACACTCACATATTACGTACTACACTATGCCATTATTTCTGTAATCCTGGTGTGCCAATGAGCACAAATGGCTGACTTCATGCAACATGCTAAACATAAAACCTTAGTCCAAAAATTGGGCTCATACAATCTTCTTAAGTTATAATCATGATTCATAAACCATAATACCAGTTACTGGAGTCATGCAACATGCTAACTCAAAACTCAGCAGACTACATTATGGCTTAATGTGCAATGTGAACCCAGCTCAAATGTTTCCTATATTGTAAAATGGTTTTGTGATACACTTGTCAGATAACATCTCATTAATACATTGGAAATGATTGATCACTCTCATATCTTGGGGTACATTCCAGACAGTACATTGAAACCCAATCCAAGCTAAGTTTAGCAAGAGATTAAGTCTACTAATTTAAATTACATTTTAATAAGTGAATGAGGCCACCAGCATGTAGCCTATGTCATGCACTGTAACTCACAAATAAATCTCAGAACAAATGTTACTCAAAAACTGAGACATATGGAATAACAGTTGGAGGTTGCTCATTCCAAAGTGGCTACAATATTAATCTTTATAACTACAGCAATTCAGTTTTATCCAGGATTCTCTCACCCACACCCCGATATCTTTTTAAGTGGTTGGAGCGTTGTAGCTCATTTGTCTTTCAAACAGATTTTAAAATAAATCAGGTCTCCTAATTCTGCCAAGATGGCAAGAATAGAAATGTAAAGCCATAATCTGATATCACAGTAAGTTCTTCCTAACCACAAGCTTGTGAGTAATTCTTTTAAAATAGGAGTGTGAACTCCAAGTGGGATGAGGTGATGAGGAGGAGCTTCAGTTTGTCTCAAAGGGAGGATTCTAACATTAGCTGAGATCATGTTCAAGCCCCACAATATGCTTTGTTTTTAAACAATTCCTTATTTTGCAAAATATCTGAGAAAGAACCAAAGATCCTTTTGTATCCTGAAAAAGTAGAAGCAAACCTCTCGGCTTGCTCAGTCACTTTGATTCATTTTTCACTCAGCAGTGCAATTGAGAAGACAAAATGCAGTAATCATCTGAACTAACAGAGGCAGTCATAGTTTGGCTTCTCCCTTAAATTGTTAGATAAATTATTAATCTTGGCACCAGCATACCTATGTGGAACCCAAGCTAGACTATCAACTCTGAAAGAAGCATTTGCCAAATAAATCAAGGCTGAGGGAGGAAGAAAGTAGTAGATGGACATGTAATGTATATAAATGAAATGAGGTTAAGATTTTTTTTTTCTCTTTGAACACCAAATCATTAAGGCAAACCTTCAGATTGGCTTGGTTATCTTGATTCACCAAAGGTTCTCCAGTTTCCTGAAATGGAGAATTGGCTTTTCCTCTTGAAAAGGGGACAATATAAATCACAGGCACTTGCTAATTTCTATTTTTTTTTTTTTTGTCTTTCTCACCCACACAAGTCTCTTACACAAGGGAAACAGTAAGATATGATCATTATTTAACTATTTGGGAGATGTTTTGCCTCTAAGACGTTCTAGCAGAATGGGTGCAACTGAATTTCCAATATGTTAGAGTCAAGGTCTTTTTTATTGGCAACTAAAGAGCGTTAAAGGAGATGAAATCCCTTTTCTTTATCCTGCATTCCAGACCACCATGAGAAGGACACAGCATATTTCCACCATCTGTTGAAAAGCTGGTGAAATGCTAACACTTCCAAAGAAATGGAGGAAAGTAAACCCCAATCATAAACCAGCCCAGCTCTTCTGGCATCCTTTAAAATGCTCTACAAAACACTTCCCATCACCCAAACCACCTGGGTTGGCAAGGATAGCAGAAACTCTGGTTCAGGGCATCTGGAGACCACCATGGTATATAGAAGGCATGTATGCATGTTAACATGGCTTATTTTTCTCAGGAGTTCCATCCAAAGAAACAAGGCAACTAAAACAAGAAGGAAGTTTTGCTTATCCAGACATGATGTTTCAGCTAGCTACCTCAATTCTTCTCTGTCCCTAAAGATGCAGCATGAAACTGGTTCAGCATCAACCAGGCGATATTCCCCAGTTGCACCGCTCTGGCCATCCTTGAGGTGTTAACTGAGACATCTATTATTAACAGTCTCATTTTTCTTTCCCCCACAGCCACGTCTGCTGATTATTTATTCGCTTCCGTGCCGAAGCTTAATTAAGAATCTTAGATACTTCCTTCAAAGTCTTGCCCATGTCGAAGGAATTACTCCGAAAGCGAGCATGCACCGAATTGGCACAGTTTTCCTTGCACGCTTACATAATCGCCAGATCCAAACAACACAGCGAGGCTCCGAGTGAACGAACATTACACCCTGTTGCAGCTCCCTTCTCGGTCTTCGTGAAAAATCTGCCCCGCTTTAGGCGTACTTACCCCCCGGGTAGGCAAGTGCAACGAGCCCTCCCCTTAGCAGCCTCCTGCGATCCTCCTCCCTAGAGATCCCTGTAAGTTACTTACCCCCCCCCCCTCTGGTTTATTCGCTTCGCGCCGCTTCGCCTTGCTCGGGGGATCAACAGTTAGTCTTCAGCGCTGTTTTAATTTAGAGCGCAAAGGAGGCTTGGAATAAAAGAGGGGGAGGGGAGAAGAAAAGCGCCCCAAGAGTTGCCAAAGAGGCACCCCGCGCTCCCCTTCCGCGGTCAGTACATCACTGCCGAGGTCCGCCTAAGGATCAGTCGGTCGTACCCAGGCTCCCAGTCCAGGCGAGGCAAGGACGTCGCAGGGAAGGCAGGAAGGCTCCCCTTGCGGACCGGAGAGAAAACTGCGCCCCGCTTCGCGGCTCCAACGTCGGGGGCGAGGGCTGGGGGCGGGGGGAGGGAAGGAAGAGCAAGCGTGCCTCTTCTCCTTCGCTCTTTGTGCTGGTTCGTCAGGTAGACAGGCAGCGCCCATCAGCTCCCTCGCCCTCCCCATCCTGGTCTTTCCATCTTCCCGTGACTCCGCCCGGTGGCAAGCAGCGCCCCCCCCCTCCAAAAGACAGCCGAGCTCCAGTTTCGCAGTCCCTGCCCATCCCTCGGGAAACCCTGGGGCGGCGGCGGGGGGGGTGGGGGGGGAGGGAAGGAAAGCGCTACCTGCTTTGCTCCCGTGCAAGAAGAGGGGGTGGGGAAGAAAAGAGAGAAGTATTTGGTGGGCACTGTTGCTTTTAGGGTTAAAACTCCTCCCCTTGGTGGCTAACCGCGCCCTTTTATTCCTCTCTTCGTTTATTTCCACCTGTTAAAGCGGGGTAGTCAACCTTGACTCTTTTATGACTCGTGGACTTCAACTTAGCTGGCTCAGGAATTCTGGGAGTTGAAGTCCACGAGTCATAAAAGAGCCAAGGTTGACTACCCCTGTGTTACAGCAACAGGCCTGATGATTGAAGGAGCCATTCTGGAAGGACGCAAATGTCCTTTTCTTGACTATGGGGGGGGGGGGGAGAGAAAAAAGCTGAGGTAAAACCAAAAGGATGGGAAATTGCAAGGAAGACATCTTGTGGCGGATAGCTGGCTGAGGAATTCTGGGAGCTAAAGTCCACAAGTCTTAAAGTTGTCTTAAAGTTGTCAAGGTTGCAGACCCCTGGTCTAGCCCAACCTTGGCCAGTTAAAGACTTGAGGACTTCAGCAACCATGCTGGCTGGATAATTCGGGGAGTTGGAGTCCACAAGTCTTAAAACTTGCCAAGATTGGACACCCCTATGAAGAACAATATAATTAGAGCTGGAAAAATGGCAGAAGACCACAATCAAAGTAAAGGGAAGCCTTGAAAGCCTTCCCCATGAGAAATGACTAGGACATTAGGGATTTTTAACGTGAGAAGAAAAGGAGCAAGGGCATTTGTCTCAAGTGTATGAAATAACATATTGCATGTAGGATCAGGGAGAAAACTTTCAAAACCCTAGAAATTAGGGGAAGATGAATGGAAGGAGGTATAGAGCAGACTAAACAGACAAAGCCAGTGAAAAAAGTGTCTTACATCCGTTTTTCACACTAATGACTGTTGCAATATTCCAATGGTCATGTGATCCAAATTTGGACACTTGGCATCTGGCCTGTATTTAAGACAGTTGCAGTGTCCCGGGTCATGTGATCACCTTTTGTGACCTTTGACAAGCAAAGTCAATGGGGAAGCTAGATTCACTTAACAACCGTGTTACTAACTTAACACTGCAGTGACTCACTTAAGGGTGGCAAAAAAGCTCGTAAAATGGGGCAAAACCCAGTACCAGAAATTTTGGGCTCAGTTATGGACATAAGCTGGGGACTAACTGCAGTTCACATGATGTTCATCTTCCCCACCTTCTGTTCTTCTCTTACTGTGGATTTTCATATTAGAGGAATGAGAGAAACCAAATGTTGAACTAAGATTTCACAGAGCTTATGTCCTTATTCCCAGAGTTAAAATTTATCTGCATCTCCTGAGCATCTGTAATTACTTCCACAATGATATCATTCAAGAATGACCATCATTGTGTTTGCCACATGGAAAATCAATTATGTGAAGAAGGACTATGGTAGAATATATTTATTACTTTATTTCCAGGATTTTGATTCACCGTAATGTATGGAGCCAGCCATGGTGATATTTTAACTGCAGTATTATAGGAGAAATCAAACAACTGTTGTTTCCTCAGTAAATTATTCTTAAAACAAGCATTTTCTTTCTTGAAATAAAGTTTTTAATTCTTTTTTTAAAAATCACATCTCATGCTTGAGGATATTTTATTTTCCTTGTTTTTTTTCTCCTTCAATTTCTGTGCTGTCAATTCTTACAGCCTTCGGTGCACATTACGATATCTACTGTGGAATAAAATTAAAGCCAAATGCACAATACAGTCACTAACTAACTACCCAATGTACCTATAGTATACCAGTCAGGTATAGATTCACTTGTCTGCAAATGCTTCCCTGATGAGCTGTATTTTCCTTGCTCTTTGGAAACAAACTAGGGGGCAAGGGAAGGTCAACGTGTCTGGGGATAAGCAGTTACACAAAATATTGGGCATCGCTGTTATCCCTGTAGATAACATTGCATTGGTGAAGCAGACTTTGGCAAACCTTCTCTCTCTTTTTCTGGCAGAAACATTCAACCCAGATAAGGTAGTCTCAAAAATATGCAGGACCTGAACGATGTATAATAATAATAATAATAAAGTTGGAAGGGACTTTGGAGGTCATCTAATCCAACCCCCTGCTCAGGAAGGAAACCCTATAACATTTCAGACAAATGGCTGTCCAGCCTCTTCTTAAAAAACTTCCAGCATTCATCACTTCTGGAGGCAGGTTGTTCCACTGGTTAATTGTTCTAACTAGAGTTGACTTGACTCAAAACATAAGTACCAGCCAATGCAGATCTGATGGTAACATTGTTATATGAGTGAATCTTACTGTATCCTTGACCACTTGAACTGATGCACTTGGTCTAGTTGAAGTTTCTGAGAATTCTTCAAGAGCTGTCCCATATAGAGCAAATTGATTTTGTCCAGACACAAGGATATGAGTGCTATGTGAATCTAGGCAATAGGTTAATAGAGTCTACCTTGGTTTCAATAATAATAATAATAATACCATTTCAGACAAATGGCTGTCCAGTCTCTTCTTAAATACTTCCAGTGTTGGAGCATTCACCTCTTCTGGTGGCAAGTTGTTTCACTGGTTAATTGTTCTAACTGTCAGAAAGTTTCTCCTTAGTTCTAGGTTGCTTCTCTCTTTGATTAGTTTCCATCGTTGCTTCTTATCCTGCCTTCAGGTGCTTTGAAGAATAGCGACTCCCTCTTCTTTGTGGCAGCCCCTGAGATACTGGAACACTGCTATCATGTTCCCCCTTGTCCTTCTCTTTGTTAAACTAGACATACACAATTCCAGCAACCATTCCTTATATGTTTTAGCTTCCAGATCTCTAATCATCTTTGTTGCTCTTCTCTGTACTCTTTCTAGAGTCTCAACATCTTTTTTACATCGTGGTGACCAAAATTTAACTCAATTACACCAACTACCTGGTTTTAATTAATGCACAGGGTGAAAAATATTGCGCCTTTCCTTCAAACCCTGCATAAACAGGTGGCTGATTCCACTTCTACTCTTCAGAAAAACAGTGACTTAGTTGAAGTGTGAAACCAGGATTCATTAGATCATGGTTGAACAAATTTCTCTTCTCTCCCAGAAGGCATTCGCTAAAGCTACAAATCATCTTACAAGTCAGCCTTCCTAAGATTCATTTATGTATTTTTAAAAAGCAATTGTCTTTCATAAACTATTTCTTCTGAGAAAGGAGTATTGGTGGAAGATTTATCTACTTCCCACATTGTGGGAAATAGAACAAATAAGAACTGCAATGTTTGCAGTTAGGCAGAATCAAAGCACATTTTCTAAACTGTCTCCATCTCTCTCTCTCTCAACCTTAATGACTCTTAGTTTCTTGTTGATCTAATTTGGGCAATAAGATCTCAGGTTGCATTTTTTTTCTTTGTTGAATTACTGTGTCATTTTTTTTTCTCAAATGAAGTAGGCAGAAATAAACACAATATTTACCAAATGGAAAGGGCAACTCTGAATTGAAAGGAAAAAATAGGCAGAAAAGGGATTATCAACAGACTGAAATTTCCTATAATGTTTTTTTCCTTCTTTTTGCACAGGTTGATGGGCTCTGTTTGCATAGCTACTTTGTACTATGCACTGAGTTCAGAATTCTCATTGACAGGCAAGTAGACTTAGTAGTTCTCCACCTGTTTAATCAACAAATCAGTCTCAGTCTCCTCTCATACCCTTCCATGCACAGAGGATAAGGATCTGCAGTGGAAGGCCTCTTTATTCATAGGGCTTCTCTATCAATTAAGGATGCTGATTTCATGAATTTCTTATTCTCACAGAGCGGTTCTGTGGATACAGGAAGCTGTGCCTTGTGAATGCTCACTCTCTACTATACAGTTACCTTATCTGAAGATCCAGACCATTACTAGATGACAACAAAGAGTTACAGAAAACTCTTTTTTGTGGCTATCTTGTGGTTTGCATTTTTGAATCTAAATTTGAATCTACTTATAGTAACTATTCAATGGGCAACTTCCTCTGTATTTCTTTAATGACTTGTTTTCATTAGTTACCCTTCCCACTTATTCACTCTTTTTAAACAATGTTTACTAAACAATCAAAATAGATCTGGAAAGGACCTTGGAGATCTACTAGTCCAACCCCCTGCCCAAGCAGGAGACCGTACACCAGTTAAGACAAGTGGCTGTCCAGTCTTTTCTTACAAGCCTCCAATGATGAAGCACCTGCTTCTGAAGGCAAGCTGTTCCACTGGTTAATTGTTCTCACTGTTAGGAAGTTTCTTCTTAATTCCAGGTTGCTTCTCTCCTTGATTAGTTTCCATCCATTGTTTCTTATCTTGCCTTCTGTGCTTTGGAGAATAAATTGACCCCCCTCTTTTTTGTGGCAGCCCCTCATGTCACCCCTAAATCTTTCTTTTCTCTAGACTTGCCATACCAAGTTTCCCAACCATTCTTCATATGTTTTAGTCTCCAGGCCTTTAATCATCCTAGTTGTTCTTCTCTGCACTTTTTTTCAAAATCTCAATTTTTTTTTGTAACGTGGTGACCAATACTGGATGCAGTATTCCAGTATAAATACTAAGGATTTATAAAGTGGTACTAACACCTCATGTGAATTTGTATTTGGTTATCTGTTTTTAGAATGTAATATGTTGTTGAACTCAGAACATGTTATACAGCAACCAATTTTGGTCACCATGCTACAAAAAAGATGTTGAGATCTTGGAAAAAGTTCAGAGAAAAGCAACTAAGATGATCAAAGGCCTGGAGACTAATACATATGAAGAATGGCTGCAGGACTTGGGTTTGGCTAGTCT